TTGATTTCTAAATACCTTTACTTACTTTTTACTCCTACGTGGGTAGTCTCTGAAGCTATCAACAAACACTCTACTTAAGACAAAAAAAAAAAAAAAAAAGCAAAGGCATCTTCTTCCTGACTTCCAGGCATCTCAACAGATCTTTTACTTTATAGACTCCCTTAAATTATATGATCGTGATCTGGGCTAAAGGTTTAGAAGAAGGGATAAGAAGTGGCAAAGAGGGGCTGGGGTTATGGCTCAGTGTAGAGTGCTTGCCTCACACATGCAAGGCCTTGGGTTCAATCCTCAGCACCACATAAAGATAGATAAATGAAGGTATTGTGCCAACTGCAACTACCAAATAAATAAATAAATAAATGAAGAAGTTGCAAGGATACTGGAAATGATGAGATGAATAAAAAGGAATCTATGCAACTGAGGACCAAATTGGGATTCAAAGGATTATGATTCTCTTGCAGAAAAGGGTCTTCAAAGAGCAGACTTCATGGAGACTTAGCATGGAGGGTGTTCATTAAGAAGTGCCTCTAGGATTAGGATCTGTGAAGGGGGCCCGGTAGCAGAAATGGGCAGAAGTTGAGCTACCACTGAGAACTTAGGACAGCTTCAGCTGACCCTATAGCACCTCTGGAGCTAGAGGATTTCTCCCAAGTTGTTGCTAAATAGGGTGAAATGGCAAGGCTCTTCACCTTTCCTTCCTAGCACCTAAGATCAATGAGCTCACTGAACATGGACAGCTGAGGCGATGGTGAAGGGGCTACAGGAAGGCTGCCTGCGTTGTCCACTCAAGTTATGTTATCAGTGGGCACAGTGTCCAATGCAGATTATAACTTCGTATTTTAAAGAAATGGAAACTCAGGAGCAGAAAGTAATCAGTCAGTCACAAATTTGAATTTAATACCCTCAATTATTTATCATTCCCTATTTCTCTCTATTTCTAACAACAACATCAAAAAGCCTATTTTGGAAGAATGATCAGGAACTATTACTTAGCTTAAGGAATTTCCTTCAATAGGAGAAACAAAAGGAATCAGTCCAAATAATTCTTGCTAGGTTTTTATAGAGAGGACTAAAATGTCAAATTCATCACTAAATTATGAAGAGTATATGAAATATCAAAATTTCAGATGTCCAGGTTTCATTTTTGTGTGGCTTTATACATGCTTACAGGACACTGTGTTTCTGTACCCTACTAAGGTTACGAACATGTAGTACCTTTATGCCTTCTCTTTTTAGGTCTTCACTGGATCTCAATAAGACTATCAGAAATCAGAAATCAGGGTTGGCACTAACTAGGTGTGCACTTCATTCAGCAAACTGACAAACCTCCGTGACTCTTCATTTTTCTAATTCTACTTGAAAGTAGTGAGAAATGACAGGATAATTTCCCACTTGAAATGCTGTGATAGTAATGGAAATATGCTATTTGCCCATATTCTTAAGAACTATGGTTTCATGCTTCCCTCCTGAATGTTTCAGCTACACTGACTTTCTGATCTGAGTACTTGCCACAGTACTTTCCACACTGCTTCCTCAGCTTGGAACACCGTCCTCAAAAATCATCATTCAGCTGGCTTCTCTTCTCCAAAGAGTCATCTCCTCCGATCTCCACATAATCTAAAGTAATCCTGCCCTGCCTAAGACAAATTTCTTTCTTATTAGCCTATTTTATTACCTTGCTAACAAAATTGCCTCTGATCATCTTGTTTTTATATTTAACTGTTATTCACTACTGTATCTGTAGTACATAGACTAGTGTCTAGCATGTACGTATGTAGTAATTACTTGGAAGAATGAACACAGACAATAAATGAATATTTATGATTCATGATTTTAAATACACATCAGAATGACAATAACTAGGGGGAAAACCATATCATTTTGTATTTTTTGAATAATACTGAATAGTAGATGAAACTCCTATTTTGTATCCCAATATCATAACTTCTATTCAACAAGCTCTGAGATGTTTATATATGTGAGCCTTCCTAAATGGCATATAATGTACAAAATAAGTGTTTCTATTTCTACAATTTTTTTTTTTTGAGGTGACAGAAAAGACACATTCCGTCTTCTGACTGGTAAAACACTGTAAGGAAAAAAATGTTCAAAATTCTTAAAGAGTAACTTCCCAACTTTATATTTAAGAAAAGCTTAGGACTAAATCTGTATAAGAGAGACAAACAAAAATAAGTCATAAATTAGGCCATTAAACTTACAATAACATTTTTGTAATTTTTGGCTAGCTTTAAAGCTAGGAATATAAGATGTCCCAAAAGATCCATTGAGCTCAGGAATTTAACTTCTGACAGGGTCAAATGGAATGTCCTTTGTGATCCTGGCTGAAAATTTGTCCTTCTACTCAAATATGAATCATTTCATTAATCTAAGTCCGTTCTTGTGATGATACATTAAAAATTTTAATTATACATGGTATTAAATTCTTATTTTCAATAGCCCCTATTTTGAGTTACATAATTCTATGTATGCTCTCTTGTCTGTATTAGGAAAAAAAAATTTTTTATTTACCTAAAACTCTTTTTAGTAGTTCTTTCTATCAATTCTGTAGTTATTTTAGAAACTTGGTTCTTGGTAGAAAATCCCATGTTAACGCTCGCACATTATTTATTTTTAGGTGACTTTAATTCAAACTTTTTTCAAACATTATTTTTTGAGAAAAGAATTATTAGGTATAGAAAGGTATAGTCTAAGAAAGTAGATTTTATTACACAGGCCAGAGACAGAGTAATAACTGGAAGTGATGTCAGGATCATAAAAGCCCAACTGGGCAAAACTGCTTGGTGTCTGAAGAAGAACTGATGCAATAAAGTAAGACATCTTATATCTGGATGTATAGTGGAAATGAGCAACAATAAAGTCTAGAATTACTTTTTAAATACATTTACTAGGTGAAGTTTTCAATAGGAACCAATCACTAACTAAGGTTAATGTTAGTTTTTCTACGTTATTAGGCAATTATCCTACTAGGGTGACATTCAAGTGTAGATATCCTGGAAAAATAAAAATGAATCCTTGAATGCAGGCAAGAAGTTTCAGTAATCATTCACAAAGAATAATTTTATGTCATATCATACTTTAAGTGATCATATATGTTATTCACGTATGATGTTATGTTAAATAATGTAACAGTTCAAGAGAAAACAAAAGTGGGCCTTTGCCATGTTTTACATTTAGTAATGTCACAAAATTAAAAACATTTTCCAAAAGAAATATCAAGGTAATTAGTGATTTTACCCCTGTGATATTGTAATATGTTCTGAACAGCAAGGTTACTAGCCTCAAGGAAACAGAACAAGTACAAAGCTAAGTTAAAGGCAACTTTATTACAATAATTTTCCAAACTTCAAACGCATTTATTACTGCATTTAGATCTACTATATAATACATTATATTACAAGGCAGAAAGCATTTCTCATAGATTTTTAGCTTCCATGTACTGCCCAAAACATTGCTTCCTAAGGATAGCAGCAACACACAATAGTTTACAACACTAAGTAAAATATGTCTCTGAAATCTCAGAATCGTTCATATTACAATGTGTTTTATTATTTTCCTCTGATTTAAAAGTGAAGCAAACTATCTTTATATGTTTTAATAGTTAATACCTAGAAATTTCCTATACCATAAAAATACCCACCAGCTTAGATATATTTTCTTGGTAGAAAACAGGATTTTGAATCTAACCAACCCAAAAGAACACTGTTATCTCCCCATTGCAAACAGGGGTAGAATCTTTTTTCCATGTTTAGAAGCCAAATCTTGGCTTCCTCTTCTTCATACAACCCCCCTGAAGAGTGCCTGTTTTAAAAGATTCCTAAATCTACAATGGACTCTTATCTAACAAAGTCCTCTCTATTTAATCTTTCCTCCTCCTATTTGTGTACTTAGAATAATGTACAATCAACTTTGACCATTCCATAATAATGAACTTAAAAGTAATCTCAGGAAAAGCAATCACATTTTAAAGGAAGTATTTTCCAAAGTAGACAAGGACATTATTCTTGTTCATATGCCTCTGCTTCAACTAACCAAACAAACCCAACTTATGAAAATAATTTTTTCAAGGTTTGTACCATAGTAACAATAGAAACAGATGTAAATCCTCTGATTAGATCTAGTGCCTTCATTTTTTCATTTTACATTTGTGAGCTACCACCTAGCACAAAACATGTTCATCTTCTTATTTTCATGAAAACAGGAAATTGTTAGAAAAGTATAGAAAAGTTTCTATTTTTTTCATCAGGCAATTTTAATACAGATTTTTGCTATCAAGTTGAAAAAGAAAAAGTGAATGAAAAGGTATGTGCTGACTGCTTGGGGGGGCAAGGCTCATAAATCACTGTACGTTAAGAGCACGTGCTGAAACTTCATGGTGCCAGTCACGTAATTTTGTGTATTTGGGACTAAAGACGTGAAGGGGTATCTTTTCCCTGTGGAAATAAGAGAAAAAAAAAAAAGAGTGATAGAAGAGTCATAAAAAAGAGAGAGGAAAAGATTCTACACTAATTCCATCATGCAGAAAACATGCCTTATAAAAGCTTAATTTCACATAGCTTTTTGTTAAATAGCAAAGATTTTAAAGGTAGAGCAGTTTTAGAAATACAGAAATTAATCTACAGAGCCCTCCTGGAAACATCAATTTTTATGCCCAAAATAAAGTGACTGCAAGACAACACATGAACTCATTCAGAGAGATATATTCTGTTAGCAAAGCATTCCCAATTACACTGTTTGGCCCACCTCTTACTTCAGTACTAAAGAGAATATGCCTTAGCCAAGATCCAGACAATATATACTACTTTAAAAAGCTGTTAAGTTGTACATTTAGGTCACACTAAAGGCACCACAGTTAAATGCTTAGCTTCTATTTGCAAAGACAAAATGCCATATCATTCATTACACTTGAAAATTTGAAAAACCAAATTGAGACCATTCATGAAAGAAAAGCATTCAACTTACAAAAAGATAAAGAAACTTACTTTGCCTTCTTTGCATTATCAGCTTCAGATTCTTTCACTGAAATATGAAAATATGCAGTATTACTTTGTCTTTTTTAACTTCAAAATCTCTTAAGCAATTATCTGTGTCAATATCAAACACTCAAGTTTCACAGAGCCACTAAGAAAAATTCTATACCATGTTCTATTGGTTGTAACTATTCAATACTCCTTCTCTTCTCTATGTAACTCTCCCAGACTGACATCTCATTTGCAGTACCCATATTATGCATAACTAATTTAAAAGTACAGTGTCCTAGGGTTGTTTTCCAGTAACTGCCAAATTAGTCTAAGTACTATTCTCTGGGGCAAAGAATATCATCCATTAGGATCCCTAGAAGATCACTTACTATGTTCAGTCCCAGTGATCTGGGCAAGGATTCGGAAAGAGCGAGACTGAGTTGTTCCAGTCCTTGGGCGCCAGTCTTCAGTATCCTCAATCAGTCTCTTCTTGCTGGCATCACTATGAGTGGGTATGTGATAAAACTCTGTATTACGCTCCACAATGTGTTTTCTTGGTGGCCTAGGGAAAAAATTTTTTTAAAAATTATTTAAATATTTAATCCTCAATATTCCTTTTATATAGCTTGCTTATGCAAGTACTGTCCCCGTCTCATTTTTTTTTTTTAAAAAGTACCTTTCTAAAATAGGCTTAGCTTTTCTTTAATCAGTTAAAAACAATGTACTTAACAGGTTCATATAAACTAACATTATAAAAACATATTCAACAGAAACATTACCGTTTAGGTGGGGTTTTCCTTTAATTGACAGAAGAAGGCAGCAGAAGAAAGATTTCCAACATGAAGAAAAGGAAAGGAAAATAATAAGGAAAAAAGGAAACTAGAAAATGAAAAGTCTAAAGTAGTCAAAATCAAACAACTGAAAATTACTTCTATCATTCATCATATGCCACATAAGACAAAGATATGAACTATGATTTAACCACAGTTTAATATCAATATGCTGTAGAATGTGTTGGGAGTTACCAAAATTAGATCACCTCTTCACTAAGCCTAGGAACCAAGACTGGTTTAGTACAGGCTAAATCAGTAATTTCAAACATAATTTTGAAAAGGGTCAGAATTGATTTTCTTCATTTATATATATAGATCTCTTTATCCTGAATAAAACTACTGGGCAGGATTAGTATACTGATGATGATTGCGCAATATTAGAAACCACTGAGATATTTATGAAAAGAAAAGGATTGAAAGTGTAGCTCTATCACTTTTCGGTGTATGATTTTAGTCAAATCAGTTTCACTGAGTATCAGTGTTTTCCACTGATAAAGCAAGAATATTACATTGTTCTGAGGATTCCAGGTAATAATTTATATCAAAGAGAGGTATAAACTATAGAGTTTGAGAACTCCAGCTTTGCTAAGAACATTCAGTTTTCTATTAGCATAGCGTAAACACTAAAGAATTTACAATGTATATTATTTTAATACTTTAAGCTCTACTGAACATAATATACACTCCTTGTTTCTCTTTCTTCAAAATAGGACAAATGCAAACAGTTGGAGTTATGAATTTAAAATTTAAAATTTCAGAAGAGGAAAAGTAAGTAGTCTGCTTAGCAGACTACTGGCCAAAGGTCTATGTAGAAAAAGTGCTCTCAATGTGGTCAGGTGTGGGTGGCAGGATCTGCCAGGTTTAACTCACTGCTGAAACATCACAGTGTGATCAGCTTGTCAGGTGATTGCTATCATTTTATAACAGTAACACTATCAAAACTGCCCAAGTACACTGGAGTCTTTTCCCCACAAAGAACATGATAGAATTAAAGTCAGTAACATTGGCTTTAGAATCAGATCAAGTTGCAACACTAAATCCTTCACTCAGCGTGTTTCTTACAGTTAGTTCACTTCTCTGAGTCTCTGTTTTCTATGTGAGACTTGTGAATTAAATCTTTAAAGGTTATTCTGAGGAATAAATAAGATTCAAAATGTACACAAAGTGCTCTCTACAGTTTCTAGCCCCCAATAATGATCATCATCACATGTTATTTTATGATGATCAGAAAAACAATCACAACATGTCTTCTAAGATGATGGATCATCGGCATATAAAAAGAACAGAATCAAAAACATTCATGTGCTAAATGGAAAGACATATTATAATTTATGGTAAGATTTCATAATCCCTGCAGTAAAATATTTAAAAGATCTTTACTAATACTCAACAAAATCTAGTCCTTTTTAAAATAGACAAAACTTTTAGAAACTAGGAAATAGAGATTATTCCATAAACACATTGTCTTGGGCACATATAAAATAGCTCTTATGTAAGTACTTGAAAAGTTTACATTCAGCTTCTAAATATTATAGTTTTAAACTGCTCTACAATTAGTGAATGTAGTTTACTCCCAAATATTGCCAATTTCAAGTATAAGACTTTTTTTTAATCTTTTGAAAAAGGTTTTGTCTATAAAAATACAAAACAATGTTGTCATACTAAGAACTAAAATACTAAAATGCCATAATTGAAGTAGTATTTAGCTACAGCATACTTGCAAAAAGTAGAATTTATCTTAGACTTTGTTGTTAACCATGGCTAAAGTCTCATATTAGTGATATGAATTTTCTAAACATTTACTTAGCATTTTCTGGTTCTGAGACTCTGACTCTGATGACTATGATTAAGGAAAACAATAATTTTAATGATTTTATTTTAAAATATTTTGAGATACAATATAAACGTAACTCTCAAGAGCAAGTAATTCATTTCAAAATATGGACTTTCAAAATTAGCAAGTTCATTCAATTTTTTTTAAAAAAAATCCAAACTATATCTCTAACTTCAGTGTACACTGTCCAGAACATTTACCCATCCCCCTGAACATAGTTAGCTTATAAGTTTTTCCACTGCTAAAGGGTGGATGTTCCAAACACACCCAATGATTCATAAGAAGTTCTCTGGGGGGCTGGAGCTATAGCTCAGTTGTAGAGTGCCAGTCTCATATATGTGAGGCATTGGGTTCAATCCTCAGCACCACATAAAAATAAATAAATATATTGTGTCCACTTACAATTAAAAAAAAATTTTAAAAAAAGAAGTTCTCTGTCATGAAAACCATGATTCTTATGCTCCTTAACATTTTTGAGACTTCTTGTAATGAAATTTATATTAATAAGATTTGCTGGTGGTGTTAAGTTGAGAGCAAGATGAAAAGTTACAGACACACAATGATGAAATGAGCCATAAGTACTTACACAGTGCCAGGATTACTGAAGGAGGAATAATACACATAATAAAGACGTGATAAAGATGAGATTGATATTCCAAGGATGATGGAACACAAGCAGAGATGAAGAAAAAAAGAATAGTAAGAGAAAAAATGAAATAGCAAAATTCAAAGCAATGAATTTAAGAGAAGATGTTATATAAATACCATGCATCAAAATAATCATGCAAATGTAGACAAAAATGAACAAATGTTAGTCAAAATTCCATCCTATTATTATTACTAGGATAACAGTTCTATGTTTTTTATCCCCTAAACACTGAAAATCATTGCATGTACTAATGCTAGTTCAAGTCTTCATGTTACTAAATACCAAGAAAGATCCACTACAAAAAAATCCAGATTTTTATAAAATTCACTTTAATATGAGTTCAAATTCTTAACAGTATTCCTAACAAAAGGCAGAGAATAAAATAGTTTGATAAAACATGAAGAAATAGTTCTGCTTACAATCACTTTTAAAATCAACAAAGAGAAAAATGTTTCAGTCTCATATCAGAGAAGTATAATATTAACCACCAGTGTAATCTCTTTACATACATTATCCCTATCATACACTGCCAGAGAATGTTACACTACTGGAAAAATTTTTTTTTCTTAAATGTAAAATGTCTGATGAAGATGTAGAATCATGAATAATGGGCTCTCTCTCTCTCAATTTTCATACTTTTCCCTGTCTCTCAGTCTCACCTCCCTCAATCATGAGCAAGTAAGTCCCAGTAACTTCAGAACTGGTGTGGGAACTCCACAGCTCTGTATTATCAGTGACATAATTACTTCCCAGAAAAGTATATCTGATTTGATATGCTAAAGGAAATGGGTTAATAATACCTGAATAGAGAGAAGGTCAAAACAATTCATTCACATAGCCTATTAAGGGTAGAATTGTTAAAAACAAATATATTTACGTTCCATTATGGATAGAAAACAAAATATAAACTTTGTATTATTTATCAAAGAACACCTTGTAGTGTTCTTGGATCCTCCAATTACGTTTAGTCAGAATAAATAAAAATTCATAGTGAGAAAAACTGACTGTCAGCTTTAGTGTTTAAAAAGGTCTGTGTGGCTATAATTCCACTTTTAATTAAGTTGACAAACTCAACACACAGGGTTAGGTTCCACTCAATGAGGGTGGGACACAGGAGTAAGTTGATCTCAACAGTTTGCCTGTCTATATTCTTTGCCAGTCATAGTGTAAAGCATTCTCTTCTCTTTTTTGCTATTTTAAATAACAGGAAAATAGTTTTGCAAAATAATCTCTCTGAACTGATACCAATTTTAGGCATATATATATTTAAGTATTTTAAAGCTGAGGGAAAATGTTTTATCTCAACATGAAGTTGCAGGCAGATATTAGATATCTCATATTTCCAATTTTACTTTATAAGATATCTCATATTTCCAATTTTACTTTATAATATGGATTAAGAATTTCAACACATGCTCAGAATAATCATAACTTGATTAGTGCAAACTTTAGTGGTAAAGGACATCAAATGGAGGGTTGATTGATTTTAATCCAAAGATGCCAATTTTAATGTCAAACAAGTATTTCCATATTGTTAAAAAAAAATGTACTCAAATGGAATAGTGCAGAGAAGTGGCAAACTTATCACCAAAGCAGCCAGTTAACTTGCCTTAGTTGTGCTGCCCACTTCACCTTGTTCTAGGAAAATTGTAATCTAAAGAAACCTGTGTTCCTCGATTATGAAATGAACTACAAATTTTCTGTCCTTTTTTTTTTTTTTTTTTGGTGGTATCAGAGATTAAACCCAGGGGTACTTATCTACTGAGCTACATCCCCAACCCTTATTTTTAAATTTTGAGACAGGGTCTCGGTAAATTGCTGAGGCTGGCTTTGAATTTGGGATCCTCTGGAGCTGCTGGGATTACAGGCATATGCCACCACACTGGGCCTCCTTCAGACTTTTTGTAAGGGGATTCATTTTTTTAAAAATATTTGTAGTTGCAAATGGACACAATATTTTTATTTTTTATTTATTTCATGTGGTGCTGAGGATCGAACCCAGTGCCTCACACATGCTAGGGAAGCGCTCTGTCACTGAGCTATAATCCCAGCCCCAAGAGGACTCATTTTTAACATATTTGAAGGCACTTTGAAAACTATGTAGACACTGATTTGTTGTTGGGATAGATGCCTCTATTACTCAAAAACAAAACAAAAACAGAAACAAAAAACATCAATTCACTTATAAGCTTTTGATTCAACTCCATAGTCATTATAAAAACAAATACTAACTCAAACTAACAAAAAAAGCAAGTCAAAAGCAGGTGATATAGTGGAAGGCACATCAAAATTTGGCTTTAAATGACCTAAGCTCAAATCTCAGCTAATCACTTACAAGTCATATGACTTGAGAAAATTATGTGCTCTCTTGATATTCAGTTCTCATGAGAATTAGATCATATAATATATTCAGAGACACACAGCACAATGCATAGAATACCTAATACACAATGCATAGTAATACCTAACAAATTAATGACTCTGAATCTTGAATTTTTAAAAATTATATTTAATCTGTAGGTTTAAATTTATTTTTTTCAAGTTCCATTGTCCCCCCTTTCCAAATCAAATTTTTTGTTATACTGGAACCCAGGAACTAGCAAAAGTTGTTGTTTATAAGAAGTTAACTTTTAAAAGACAATAAATCAGGGTTTGATAATGTTTTATTATACACTGGTGTGTGATATTCCTATACATAAATAACATGAAACTATACAATTAATGAGACCATAGCTGTTTAGAAAGGAGTTCTCTAATAACTCAAAAGTTAATTCTCTTGGGTATGTCTAAGTTAGATATCTCATATTTCCAATTTTACTTTATAATATGGATTAAGAATTTCAACACATGCTCAGAATAATCATAACTTGATTAGTGCAAAATTATTTTAAGTTCTTATCTCATGTGATTTTTCCTTAGCTTTAAAGCTAGCTAACTACTAACCAGTTTTATGTCAATATTAAAACAGCACAAAAACAAGGTTTAAAGTTATACCACAGTGATTCCCAATGCCTATGTTAACTCTTAGTGACATTTATTAAACATGGCAATTATCTCAACTGATTTCAATAGTGTATTGGCTGTCTATCATTCACACATATAACTGCACATAGAAATATCAATATCTTCTAGAAACATTTACTCAATTAAAACTCCGAGAAAAAAAAAAACACCAAAAAATTTCTTGGAGAACTTAATCTAGGAAACACTAACTTTTAATATTAATTCAGTTTTACATATGCTGTTTACTAGTGATACAAATGTTTATGCTTTTTCTTCTATCTTTATCTTCTAACAGTTTTGATTGATATAAATTACATTCCCCCAAGCACTGCCTCTTTTCAACCTTTCCACAGCAAACTCCACATATATTTAATGACATAACTTAAACACTACTATTTATTACTATAAAGCAATTCACCACAACATAGCAATGCAAACCAAACTTATTCAAAACACTATATGTGGTTATTTGAAATTATAGCTCTTTTGCAAAATTTAACTTAATTTTGCAAAAATATAATTTAATTTTGCAAAAATTGGGCATTCATGCTGTTTACTCATATATAAATCACCATATTTCCTCTCCAGTAATGTGGATACTAACTTTGTCACGTGTGTTTTCTGCAAAAATAAAAGCATTTAAAAATATTACTACTACATCATTATTTTTTGTATATTCCAAGGCCAGGTTCTTCAAAACACCATATAAAAACTGTTAGAAGAAACTGCAGTCCAACCACATTGAAATTAATATAGGATACCAGAGAGACTTACCTTCAGAAAGCAGTGGCACATTATAATGCAAGGACAAATGAAAAGGGAAATTAGTTAATTACTTGACAAAAAACAGCTTTCCTTTTGCTCTGGAAAATAAAAAGTCCCATTCTGCTCTTCAGAGGAAGCAGAGTAGTAGAGAAAACAGAATGCCACTACCAATAATGTGTACATGTAGAAGAAAGATTTAAACTTTCTGAAGAGCCTTAATCATTATTACTTGTAAGAAGGAATAGGAGTGATTACCTAGTATTATTAAGAAATATTCTATAAATAGCAATATAATTTCTAGATTTCATAATATTAAGATGAATTATTAGCTAATTAATTCTTAGTAATGATGCTTAATTGAAACTCTCTTTTTTGTGTCTAATGTTTATCAATCCCATACAAATTTGGGAGGCAAACTAGATAGCCACTTTAAATCACTTTCAAAAACTCAGTCTTCGTGATGCCTTAAAGAAAAAGATAACTCAGGCATTTAACTCTATATCCTTCTGAATTTTTAACTATTTGGTCATGTGTATGGACTATTTCTAAAATAAGAAATAATTAATAAAAAGCAACAACTTTCAATATTATAAGAATTTTATTCTGCCAACATAATAAATATCTGGGAAATAGAAGAGTAAAAACTTCGACACTTAAGTATAAAAAGTACTTGACAATATCCCCAAACATTTACTCTCCAAGATGACAAATCAATGACTAATAAAGGATGTGATTTATTTTTTATTTCTCTAAACATAGTGAGAGAAGGAGCATTACAGATTTGTCTTTGAATTTCACAGATAACACACTTTTGTTTTCAGAATAATCAAGTTTTCCTTGTCCTAACATCTGGACAACATTTGAGATCAAGTTATTTTTAAACACATCCAGTTTGCAAAGGCAAAGCAGTAATTTGCTTGTTAATGATGCAAAACATGTAATAATCCCTTTTCTCCTAAATTTTGCACAGTGCTGAACGCCAGGCATGTGCTTAACGAACACCTGTTGAATGACTGAGAAGCTACCAAAAGGCCCTGAAACTACATCACTTCCTTGTTTCAGCTCAAAAATAATGTTTTAAATCATTTCAAATTTAACCATCAGAGTTGTGTTAATTTATTAAGCACAAAATTTAAACTTGTTTTAAATCCAATCTAAAACCTCAATCTGCTTTTTACTTCTACAATTTTCTATTAAGAAGACTTTCTAATACATTTCAAGATGTGTTAGGAGAAAAGACTTTTGACTTTAGTGGGCTTTTTTTTCCTACTGAACCTGGAATTTAATAAACAATAAACTTCTGTTTCAGTTTCTTTATGAGGCTAGCATTTAATAGGCAGCATCTTTCTTTTCAGGTTATCTACTCTGATTATTCCAAAATTTGTTATCTTAAAATAGACACACAGGAAAAAAAATTTTACAACCAAACACACCTCAACCCCATGTACTGTTCCTCTTCTTCACAGGAAAGAAGAAATGACATTCTTTGAAAGACACTAGTTTTTCTCAACATACAGTTTACTGAAATGTAATTTTATAACTATGAGGTTCAAATGAGTTAGTAACTTAGACCATTTTTAAGTGTACACCCAAAAAGGAAAAATGAGGAGTTAATTTTCAAAATCTTCTGCTAAACATTTCATATTTAATGTCCATGGGTTTTAATTCATTTATTTTACAAAAATCTTTATAATACCTCTGATGCAACCTAAAAGGCCCCCTCTTATTTTTCATTACTGTTTGCTTTTAAAGAAGAAATCAAAACTTTTGAGCCACTCACAACCATAAAGCCGTCTGTACAGCCCAGTAGCTGTTCCTGCAGAGCTCCTGCACTCTCAGCAGCAACCTGGAACCCTGCCATTTTCTCTTTCAAGTTCCCAAGTTACCATGGCAGCAGTGCTGCAGAAAGCATTGCTTCTTCATTATGTGAATTAACATTCTAGGAAGGGATTACATCTAACAGAAAGGATCTATCCACACAATCATTTTAATTATATTTTCCTGGGAACTGACGTGGGAGAAAACCATCATGTGTACAAATTATTTTCCTTTTAATGTACATTTTTGTCAAATAAATAAAAATCAAAATGATTTTGTGTAAATGGCTTTGCTTTAAGGTGCCTTCATTGAATCCCTAAATAAATGAAATGATATAAATTACGGTTGCTGAAATTACAACTATGGGGCTCAAATGAGTCAATAACTTTGACTTTTTCAAAGTGTATCCTCAAGGAAAAATTATAAGGAAATAACAAATTTTCAAAAACTTCTGCTAACATTATATATCTAGTTTCCACTAAATTTTTCATTCATTTTTTAAAAAATGTATAAAATGCTTTGGACACTATCTAAACATCCCTTGTTGTTCTGTCCCTACGATTTGCTTTTAAAGAGTATTGGTCCATGCATTACTTCATATAGACATGTGTCAAAAACTGATTTGTTTTCTATTTTCTACACTACTTCGTGGGAGATAGGGCTTCTTAAAAACTCCTCATTTCCCCTTCCTATAGGGTGACATACGTAAGCTGAGAACAATTATAATCACACTGTTTAAGCTTTTGGTGAGCAATAAAAGGATGCAAAATTTGAGGAAAAAAGATTCAAGATTTTCCTTGCATTATAAGTGCCAGCTGCGCAATGTTGTGCCAGGAGGTGGAAGAAGAGTCACACAGCATGTTACACAGTTCATAACACATTAAAATGTAGAATTAGGTTTTGATTAACCTATAATTGCTTGGCAGACAATGTTGTATATATGTAATAAGGCCACATGTTAATGAAGCAAACATAACTCCACCTTCCTTAAAGTAACAGCTGAATGTGGGAAAGATAGATTAAGAGTTTCTTGGAGATTACCTAAAAGAAGTATTCTGATAAGAACTGAAAGCCCCCTTGGTCACCTACCCATTTTGTTGCTTAATGTCACCCTGGGATCCTCTTCTCTGTCCCTCTGCTAGCTCGTGAGCAGTCTCGGAACACACGCTGGTGACTGTGGGCTGCCGTGGGACATTAACTGCAGTTTTACCAGTGCTCAGTGCAGATGAACACTGGTCAGCACTAAGATTGGCGTTAACATGCAGTCCAGATGCAGAGAATGGGGGAGGAGTGACAGCAGTCACAGGTGGAGGAGAAGCATGTGATGAAGTGGTTGCATGAGCTGGGGTGAAGGCAGACGATGGTGATGGGATGGATGTGACTTTTGGTGAAGACACAGAACCAAAGGGCCGTGGTGCCTTATTGTAGGCCATGTTGGTTGTGGAAGTGACTTTGGACACAGCAGGAGATGTAATGGGCACAGGTTTAACTACTTCTTTAGGTTCTCCCTATGTGAAATAAAAATAAACATACACAAAACACGCCAATACATGCAAACATAGTCACTGAAAAGAATGCACAGCTGATTTTTAAAAAGACAAACACAATTATGTTAGAAGCTCAAATATCACACATTTCCAGTAAAAACAATGATTTGATATAGCATAACATGCACACTAACTGGTCCCAGCATGCATAACACGGAGGTGTACAGTAAGCATATTTTTATTTATAAAAATAAAAGGAATTCCAAAATATTTAGTAAACAGCAGGGAAACCATCAAGAAGCATCAAGGCCATCTAAGTATCAATTTAGCTACATTACAAAGGAGAAGTTTTTAAATACCCCATAATAAACAAAACATTGCTAACTGAAATGTTTTTAAAATAACCAGAGCTTCAATTATAATTCCATCTTTCAAACATGTTTAATTTCTTTCTACAGTACAATTACTTGATTCATGCCAAAGCAGCACATTTCAAACTCTCCCATTTAAAAATGAAGGATGAAATAATTTTCATCTAACTCAGAAACATATACATTCTAATTATCTTAAATAAAGAATTTTTTAAAAACTTAAACAGATAAACAAACCTAAGTCTTTCCTCCTATAATCCACGTGTTCTCTCTCTCTGAATGTTTTAAGATATGATTCAGAGATAGAATTCTTTCCCTTTTCCAAAATAAATATTTAATAGTTTCAAGAGGAAAAAATTATCTTAGATATTTCCTCATTACCATCAGCCAAAGAAAAAAATAACTCGTAAGAAAGATCAATTCTTGGGATTGGGGCTATAGCTCAGTGGTGGAGTCCTTGCCTTGCAAGTGTGAGGCACTGGGTTTGATCCGCAGCACCACATAAAAATAAATAAAGATATTGTGTCCATCTACAACTAAAAAATATTTTTTTTAAAAAAAGAAAGATCAATTCTTCCTAAGATTAACAGAATTTATCAGTCTTTATCCCAAAGCATATTTACTAATGTTCTTCAAAAATCAAATTAAGCCTATATAATATTCAAAAATAAATCTCTATTTACCATCTCAAAAGAAAAATTTTAAGAAAACATACAATGATAACAATGATAACTCTAATATGTTTAATTTTAAGAAAAAAATAATCTAAATGAATCTTAACAACAAGAAAGCTAATTGAGAAAAATAAGTAGCTTAAGGCCTAAGTAAATCAATGTAATAAGTAATTCAATGAAAAGGAAAAAAAAAAGAGAGAGAGAGAAACTTAAAAAAAATATAAATCAAATGTAGATGAATAATGGTTTGGGACAATTTGAGAATGTATTTGAGAAAAAAGGGTACTTTCCAATAACCTAATTCAAGAATATTCTGAAATGTAATTTTTGGTTGTTATTAATGATTTATTATGATACACATTTTGAGTAATCACTTATTTTTCTTAGCAAACAAATGAATAAAGATGGAAAATTTTAAATTAAATATAAAAGAAGAAATTTGGATATAAATTATTAATAACATTGGCTTTAGAAATAACGTTTTAAAATAAAGGTACAATTACACATGATAATTCTGTGTGTGTTGATTTCCATTTTCCCCTTCTTCCTTTTTTTTTTTGGTACCAGGGACTGAATACAAGGGCGATTTACCACAGAACCACATCCCCAGCCTTTTTCATTTCTTATTTTAAGAAAGGATCTCACTAAGTTGTTTAGGGTCTTGTTAATTTACTGAGGCTGACTTTGAACTAGTGATCCTCCTGCCTCAGCCTCCTGAGTTGTTGGGATTACAGACATGTGCCACTGTGCCCAGCTTCCTCTTCATTTTTAAGAAAGAAAATGATGGGAATTGTAAGACTATAAATTAAATGTCTGTATGGCCTGAGACCAAAATAGAAATTATAGAAACTCAGGAGGAACAATCATGTGGTAACCTACTGATGCTAGATTAGAAACGCACCTTTGGAACAGAAGCTGGTTCAGGCTTGGGTGTTGCAGATGCTCTGGGGGAAAAAAGAAAAAAAAGCCATGAATTTTTGCAAACCTATAATTTCTTATTAGTGTATAGTTTATTATAATATATCGATTTATGGTATATCACCAGAATTTATATTTTCATAATTCCTAGTTTTGTCTATTCATAATTAAGTCAAACACTACAAGAACCAACGTCCTTACACACAAAGTACTCATTAGCAGTTCACTATAAACTCAAATGAGGAAAGATAAATATCAATCTTGTTTGCTAACACCCCTTTTTCAATCTTTAAATTGAGGCTATTCCCCCTCTTAAAGCATAAGGTAAAAACATGACACCTTAAACCTTGAGAGGTTCCTCAACCATCTAACTTGAATCTTAATCTTTAGCAGTAACTGCCTTTTCTCCTAATATCCATGAACATAACCACAGGGTGCTGGGTCTGTGAAGATGATTCAGGTTGAACTGAATCACTGAATGAGTATTTTGTATTTATATTCTTAAGTGTTTATGCAAATTAAAGTATTTACTATTCTAAGAAATAAATAGTAATTTCTTCCACTAGGCTATACTTTTAATAAAGGCAATGAGAATGTGCCATCTTTATAACTTCGCACAGTGCCTGGCATGTAATAGGTCTTTCCAAGGCAGACAGGAAAGACAGACAAAAATCCATGCATATAAATTGAATATTTACAAATTCCAAGTGAAACTTTATTTTTAACATATGTTTTCTGGCACTATATACATTTTGGTTAGTGTGAACTAAACAGCAACAACTGGTTTGGAGGAATTATATAATCATGACAATAATGAAAGTAAAAAGTATTATTGTCCTCATTTTCACGTGAGAAAATTCAAGTTCATGTAAACTGCTTTGGAAGGCATGGAAGCCCTCTGTTTTTATACATTACTGTGTACTAGCTGTATTCAACTAACACAATGACTGAGAAAACCAGGGATACTTTACTCAATGCTAAGGTGCGGGTTACACTTAATATGCCAGAAGCAATTACACTCCTCTCATATCAGACAGTCTGAGGATAAGCCATAAGGTGCATAATTTATGAAATGTAAGCATAATAGGTAAATACTATGTGATAATAATTTTATTCTACAAAGCAAGAGATTGTTTTACTTAGAAAGACAATAGATCACAATTAAAAGACACTAGGACAGGATATTGGATCTCCATGAGCATAACCTAACAATGAACTCTGATCAACACATTCAGCAGCAACTGAATTTTCCAACAACTACTAATTTGGTTCGCTAGGGCAGGCACTAACTGAACAATTGGCTAACCTAATGGAAGGCCACAATGGATGCTAACATTCAATTACAGCAATAGGTTCTACTCTGTGCAGTTGCACAACTTTCCATGGGTACTCAGACAATTTCTCTTAGCTGAAAGGGTTATTATAACAAGCAAAGGAAACAAGTTCAAGTACAGAACAGTGGAATCTTCCTTTCATTGAAATTTCACAATACGATGTAATTGCAAAGGGTTTACTTATTAAAACCACCCAAAACATTACTGAAAGTTTGCCAAAGCATAGAAGCCAGTATTCTTTTTCATCTGAACACTTTAAAATACATGGAGCACTTCTAAAAACATAAAAACAATTGGTGAAAAAGAACATGATATTTAACAGTTGCTAGATCTTTAAACATGGGATAAAATACATATATTCTATGTCTAGAAAAACAAACTTCTTTGTTTTTTAGAGCTGTTAGCTCTAATTTAAAGAGTATAAGCAACAACAATGCCCCAGAATGGTTCGTTTCATTACATTTGGAATCCAATCAATGTATTTTGTTCCGAACAAACAGAATGAGTCCTAACATAATTTACCATGTAAAGTTCTACAGAAATACAGTTTGAAATTTTGAATGCACACAAAAAATTTAAATCTGCAATTTAAATATGGGCCCAATTTGTGTCCTGATAAAAACGTCTTACAAGTGCAATGACGTGAATTAAGACAGGGAAAGAAAGGGCAACATGCCTTCAAAAACCTAGGTCTGAACTCATTACACAAACACCCTTTTTGAGGAGGGGAAAAGAGACAGGCATGTAATTAAATGTCAAATAAAATTGTCAACACTAGATGTAATAAAAATTAGTTTTCTTGTTTTAAAAACTAACCACCAAATGAGTCATAGAATTATTAAATTCTGAAAAGATTCCTTACTATTTATTTATTTATTTATTTGGTGCTTGGGATTGAATCCAGGGCCTTATGCATGCAAAGCAAGCACTCTATCAACTGAGCTATGTCCCCAGCCCCAGGTTCCTTATTTTATTACATGGCAATCAGGGGGTTGTTAAGACTTCTGTATGAATATTTATAGAAGTTTATAATTTCAGCAAAATTTTGAACTCTTCAGTTAAAATGGATGCTAACATTCAGTTACAGCAATAGGTTCTACCCTGTGCAGTTGCACAACTTTCCATGGGTACTCAGACAATTTCTCTTAGCAGAAATCTCTTAATTTCTTAGCTGAAATTCTCTTATCTTTACTCCAAAAAGTAAAGTAACACATTTTAGTGTGTTACTTTACTTTTTGGAGTAAAGATAAGTTAAGTCATTCACATTAAAAACATGTACCAAAATCTGTATTGTAGTAGTTATATTTTAAAAGATCAGTAGGCTACAAAAATTTTAGACATGAGTATAATTAGACTTTTTTTTAAAAAAAATACTTTTTAGTTCTAGATGGACACAATGACCTTTGTTGTATTTATTTATTTTTATGTGGTGCTGAGGATCAAATCCAGTGCCTCCCAAGTGCCAGGCAAGCACTGCACCATTGAGCCACAACCCCAGCCCCACAATTAACACATTTTTATGACACTAAAAGTATTGTAGTTCAAGAAATTTATAATCCATTACAAATGAAACCTATAAAACATAAAAAAACAAAGATACTAGTTTTAAAAAGCAAAAGTTACTATTCATCAAAGAACAGAATAAAAAGATATACCACCTTTTCCTTACAATAGTATAAAGATTTTTTAAAAAATACTAATATATAATACTTGTGAGAATACTTATATGTTACTGGGAGATCTATGTAACTCTTTTGGGAAATACTTTGGTATTTATTTACTAAAAGCCCTGAAGAAAACTCACATCTTGTGACACAATAATCAACTTCATGATATTTGTCATAAGGAAATAATCTGAAGTATAAAAAAGACCTTATGCATGAAGATATTTGTGTACTACTGCATAATTATTAACAGTAAAAAATTAGAAACAAAATATTAAATACACAACAAGAAAATGGCTAATTGGAATATAATCACCAATGAAAGATGAAACAATTAAAATATTCTTAAAGAAGAATCTTTCATTGCATGACAAAATGTTTCCTTTATATGATACCAAGCATATATAGTAATGATAAATATATGAAAAAAAATGGGTGAAAACACAAAAATTTTAGAAGAGGGTCTCTCTAAGTGATATCTTATACAATGTACATGCACTACTTTTTGTAATTAGAAAACTATTTCTCAAAGCACATTTCATGGAAAACGACTTCCCCCAAAACAAAATACACACACAAACATGTTCTGTTATCAAAGATATCTGGAAAATATGGAGTTAAAGTTACACAATATCTTTAGCTGCTAAACTTCTCAGAGACTCTAAATGCCTAAAAGAAGAGCAGACTATGGATTATTGCCCATACACTTTGAAGGAGAACTCATTATTTAAGAAACATTTCTCAAGATTGGAGTTGGGAGGGGTGGCCCTCTGGGAAACACTAATATATAACCAAGGAACAAGTCTGTAAAGTCTGAAATGTTTACTTGAGTCCCACAGTGGCTAAATTTAAAGGAAAGAAATATTACAGTCCTTAAAATTCTCAAAAAAGTTTTTATTATACAAATTATCTTTTATAATGAAACTACTGCTTTCTTGAACTTTATGTTTAATAAGATACTCAAAGCCTATGAACATAATTTAACCAAAGTTTAAGGAAGAAAATTCTATTTCTTCATCAAACTGGAATATCTATTTTCAATAGTGCCCAGGGAGAAAGTCCTAACATAATAAGAAGAAAAAGCATTTTTCAAAATTAAATTAATCATAATTATGGGTTTTTTTTCCTTTAGACAAATATTGTCAAGAAAGTGTTCTTTTAGAAATGGCACCGGTTCCATGAAAAAGACTATTTTTCAAAGATATTTAAATAAATGAATGGTTAAAAACTGAGGAGTAATTATAAAAAATTATTCTTGCATTTTTCTCTTCATTCATAATAGGATAATATATCTCCCCTTTGAACCACAGTAATCATCACAAGTCACTTTCATGTAGTGTGTGAGTTTCAAACCACCGGAGAGCTGGCAATGGCTTAGTGCCACAGGCTCAACAATTTGCTTATTGTTCTCTCTCCCCTTGGTGTGAAGCCACCGTACAGGAGTAGGCCATGATGGTGAGATATGAGTGCCTTAGCTCAGTCCCACCCTTGGCTTGTGGAATTCAAAGAACAAAGCCTTCAGTGTGGCTCAAACAATCTATTTGAAAGTTGATTGGTTCTTATAAAAACAGTATCCAAAATAAAAATCCTTGATTCATTATAACCAGATTCAGAGTTTCTGAATAGTTGAAAGGAGTTCTGATTCATGACAGATTTATTAAAAATTAGAAATGTGATGTCCTAGTTAGAATAATAAATAGGGGAAAAATTAATGAATTAGCAATGTCTCCATCATGAATTAGATTCAAAAGAATCAAGCAAAACTTCATCTTACAAACACCCAACAAATGATGCTATACCTAAATTATGCTTTTAACCAATGCATATATTTTTTTAAACTGCTTCACAAAATAACATGTTATTTAGTTAATAAAATAGCCATGAATGAATTTTCATATTAGTGTTTAATAATGAGGAATTAGGCAACAGAACCAAACTGATAAAATTATTCACACTGCTCACTGTCTTGGCGACTCCTTCAATCACATCTAATATATTAAACTCATAAACAGTCATACAGTAAAGAGT